TCAGTAACAAAAAGAACAAAGTTGGCAAACCTTTTGGACGCATGAACCCTGAAATCAGCAGTGAAATGCCAGAGATGGTTTTCTAGTTTGATCAATATTTGTGTGCCACCAGTTCCAAGTTAGAGCATTCGATCGACTCTCTTCTTTTCATATCCTCAAGGACTTCAAACCTACAATTTCGACACCCAAGTTTAAAACATACCAAGAAATATTCATTAAAAAGAGATTTCAAATTGCTACGAAGTAGATTTTATGAGCTACTTAGGACCACGTTTGAAAACCCGGTGGTTTTTATCGCGCATCCGTGTTGCCGCCGCATGGTCATGCGAAACGAGCTTTGAACTGAGTAGAGGGTGTTCCTTTAGAAATACTAACTTACCCTGACGTTTATCAGTTAAAAACTACTGGTAGATTGTAATCACCATTGAAAGAAACTTCTGCAGACATGATCAAAACGCTCTATGAGTCAATGCATTTGTTCACTGACTCATGCGTGCGATGTGCGATATGTTGTCTCAAGCGTCACGCAATCACGCACTTCAACTACAATATACGGTCCGCGGTTCTTTGCTCTCATTACCTTTATTACTATCACTTGTAATATTTTTTTATTACCATTAATTTTCTACCTCATATATCAGCTTTAGAACGCAAACTCATCAGCGGTTTTCGATTGTCAGGAGCTGAGAGGAGCGAAAACCAGGAACATATCGAAACACATCTGAGTTCGCAGGCTAACCATCGATGGAAAGAGCCAAGAAAGCTCGAGTTGATCATATCAACAACAACAACAAAGATAAGTTAAGCATGCAAATACTTCCATAATGAAGAAAAGAGGAACATTTAACGTAACAACTACCATTCAGTTCCGGCCGGCTTCGGTAGAGGCAAATGTTTACCTTACACTTCTTTCATGTAACTCGTTGTTGAACATTTTCGAGAAACTAACCATTCCGATAAAGTAAAAAACAATACGAGCAGTAGAACCCACCCTTTTTTTGGAAGATGAAAAAATTTCTCTCCACCCTCCCCACCCTCCATCCTCTTATCTCCAAGCACCCTGCGATTTACTTGGTCAGTGCCAAACCGAGTTTACGACCCAGTCTCCCAAAAAATATCGACAAATTATTTTCTTATGTGAGAAATGTTTCCTGTTCAGACGAAATTAATAATCTCAACTAGTAAATGTTCAGGAATGGACAAAAGGAACAGCGTTTTTCGGGCAGACGAAAATACGACCATAGGTGTAAAAATTATTCACCTACAACGTATTTTCCAAATAGCAAACTAGCACAGACGAGACCAGATAATTTTCTGCGAAAGCAAACAACAATCAAGGCTAAACTATTAGAAGCATAAAGGGGGATAAATTTTGGTGCAGCGACAGCTATAAGGAAGAGGAAGGGAAGATACATCATAATACGAAACGTTTCCATGACGAAGTCAACGTGAGGGAGCACCATGTGGGAGTGAAATTTTTAAGGAGGACTATAATGTCACTGAAACACATAGATCTAATCTCTACGTAGGAAAATAGACTCTTCTGCTATATACTTACCGGCACTAAGTAACTCGCGCAAAAGAAAATGGTAACGGGGAAATGGAACATTAGGTAGAACCAACAACAGCTCAGTGGAATCTTAAGAAAGCTTCCCTCGCGAAAAGAGACATCTCTCACAGACATATCAGTTGAGGCTAAGTTAATGATTTTTGTACAACTCGGTACGGTCGTGCGGGCCAGTTGCAACCTCATTAAAACTATTTGGAGGGTGGCAAAGCATTTATACATGACGTGTGATTAAGCCCAGAATTCACGCGAAACGCGTGAATATTACAGAAAGTCAAGGTAAAGTGAGACGTGAAGATCATGGGACGCGTGAATGTTTAAAGTACAAGAATGCGCGAGTTTCTCAAAAAATTCGTGGCAGAGACAGGATCAGGACTCCCCCCCCCCCTTCCTTCACCCTGCTACTCTGCTATCCTGCCACCTTCTTTGTGAACGAATTATTTGCATCAAGGAACTTTAAAAACAAAGATCAGTGTATCATCAATACATCACTATTCAGTCATTCGTTCATTATTTAACTCTCTAGACTACGAGTATTTTCCTCGTCGTCTTTCCTGACTCATTCCGTTCTACTCTTTATTCTTGAACCAGCTCTAGCTAAGCAATTACTGATGGTATCTTTTACATTTAGTTTCAATTACGTCATTCGTCTTTCCTTTTACCGCTTACCCACAGGTATGAGTCGGAGGCTACACGTTTTTAAATGGTTTACTTTAAAATCGTATATACCCTAGTAGCCTTGAGAGAATGCCTTGTCAGTTCAAAATTTGTTGTTGTTGTTTTCGTAAGTGATGTTTTTAAAACCAAATAACCAACCATCTAACGGTTATACCATTTCACGAGTCAGCTTCGATCCCGCGACAAGTTGGAGTAACGAGTCAAGTTCGATCGCACTTATATTTTTCCCTTGTCAAATAACATCATAAGGCGATACATCATTATTATAGCTGCTAAAAAATTTAAACAAAACAAACTAACCCGTTCACTTAACCATTTTCTATTACCTTTTACTTAAGTTGAAACTGCTTTTTTCATTTGTTTCGATTTCACTACAGACAAAATCCCCGCGTTCTAAATTGTTGCCAAGGGCTCTTAGACCTCTCTTGATCTGAGAATTTTCGCAAAGTTTACAAATCGTTTCCAGGGCTGTTATTGTCCGTTAAGGCATGCTGATAACCACAACTTATGCTCTGACTACGAAAATATTAAACTCGTTAACTTTCAACTACTGGTTCATGCATACGACTCAGTGCATATCATAAGTTATGTATTCCACACAAGTAACATGGCTTGCTTCGAAAATTTTGAGTAAGTGAAACCCGTATATCACGAGAAAAGCAAGAAATGTTAAACAAGATCATTGTGGTGAAACAAATATTTTGCAGAGTAATAATACATGTCATCCACAATTTTGGCCGAGGAGAGAATGGGATCCCTGTGGATGCAACATGGTGGTCGAGTTCGAGATATCAGGTTTACACTCCGAGTCTTGACGGTTTGTCGTTGAAAAAGGACTTCTGCCTCAGGTGTGAATAATCAAAAATTGGTTGGAATCTTTAGAGGGAATTCGTCGATACCTTGGAATGTTTACTTCTATGAACGCAGCTGGGAATCCGTGCAGAATTGAGCCTTGCAAACGGCCGTGAAAAACGTAAAAGATTGAAACTAGGTGTTTCGTATTCCTGGTACATCACTTTTACAGAGAAATAAATAAATAAGAAAGATAAAAATAAAAATAAAAAAATAAAGCAAAAATAAGGGGAAAATTTGAATTGACTCGAACTTTACTCGTGACTCGAACTTTACTCGTGACTCGAACTTGACTCGTAATATGGTATAAGGGACTTGTCAGAAATTAGCAGGGGGGGGGGGGGGTGGGAATTTTAAATTTGGGTTCGGAAATTAGGTGATCCGTCCCTGCAATGGGAGTGAAATTTGCTAACCCTCCCCTTGAGCTTGGCCTAAAATATCATGACCCTCCCCCTTTTGTATAAATGATAAAATCTAGTTCCTGCAATACACTAGGGTGCGTCAGTATTATGAAAACTCAAAATATATTTCTAATCTGTTCTTTGTCATGCTACATACATACATTTTCGATGACAGCATTAAGATAAATGATGATGATCAAGATTCTCACAGCAGCATTGATGGTGATGCTGAAGACAGTGATGAATAGGATAGCCAGAACTCTACTAACATTATTAATAACAACATTATTCATAATTTCAATAAGACTATATAGCATTGTTATAAATGAAAAGTACATGTTTGTTAAATTCTTGCTATAGTACTTCACAGTTTATATCCATAACGTTCCGTAAACCGTTGTATTTTTCTCTTTTTTTTTTGCCAAATAAAGAACTTCCTTTTTCTTCTGTGGGTGAACCTCTACATGATCACGGGCATATATTTGCATGACCCTCCCCCTTTTAACTGCCCATTTTTCATGACCCCTCCCTTTTCTGAGACTCAAAAAGTTGTGACCCCCCCTCTGTTTCCACCCCCCCTCCCCCCCTGCTAATTTCTGACAAGTCCCTAACTCACCATCTAACAACTGGACTGACCAACCGAATGACTAGCCGCTTTTATTGTTGGTGCAGATATTACAACAAATCCAGAACATTTCTGCTCGTTATGGCTCTGGTACGAGGAAATATGACCATATTACTCCTGCCTCAGTATAATTTCAACGGTTACATGTCTCATATTGAATCGCGTTTAAGCGTCTCTTTTTCGTCTGTAAATCACTGAATGGTCTGTGACCAGGAACTTCGGAAATCAACTAGATATGGACGCCCGAACTTTCAAAACCTGCTAATGCAGCCAAATCATAAAACCAAAACGTATGGTGATGTAGTTTTCTTGATCATATTTAAAGTTTTTTAAATTCTAGTTTTTTAGGTATATTGCTATTTTTTAATTTCTACGTTTGTTGGAGTATGATTTGTGGTTTTAGCGATAATTTTGTAAAGCGCCTCGCACCATTAGTAGATGTGTGCGTTATATAAATAAACTATTATTATTATTATTAACATTATTACTACTATTGTTACTATTGTTATTGATATTTAATTATGAGCAGCAAGACCGTGCGCTACTTGCATGCAAGCCTGTTTGAACCGAACGCAACGTTAGTTGCGCTGAAACCCTTTCTTGAAGATGTCGTTCCAAAGAAGATCGGGGCCCAGTTTTTCGAAAGCCGATTAGCGCTAACCCAAAGTTAAATTTTAATCTGGGTTTCTATACTTCTTTGTTCGATAGCCTTTTTGGGATCATTTTCTCTACTATATATGGAGCATCACTCGGTATTTTGGCCGGGTGTGGATCTGGGAACTGGGATGTCCGTCACGCTTGCTGCAAAGGATTCGCCGGAGTTGGGGTTCTTTAGCTGATTTGACAAAAGGAACTTTGAGTAGCTGAGTGTATTCAGCTATGCTTGTGTGGGGACGGACTTCAACTTTTCTTTTCTCTTGACTGGGATCGTTGGCGGTGTCCGACGCACAATGCTTGCGAGTCTTGGTTGGGGAGGAATCATGTTAGCCATGCAGATGTGTCTCGTTTGATTTGAGGTAGGGAAGCAATGATTATTGTGTTTGAAACCATTCTGAACAGCGAAGGTACCGCAAAACACTTCTGTTAAGAAAAGAAAAACAGTTTTCAGCCTTTTCCGTCTTAAATTAGAAGTAACTCTCGATAGTTTGGGCGAGAGAACAAAATGTCGCCACCACTGAAATAGGTTTCCGATCTCCCAAGACAAAACTACAATTACTAACGGATCTCCTGTTTCAAGTAGATCCTTTATTTATTTCACAGTTCCAGTCATGCTATTGGCTGGGTATCGCACAACTTTTTTTTTTCTCTTCAAAGATAACAAGCAATAACAGGTTCTTTTTATTATTTTTCTTACCAAATTGGAGATTGAACACAAAATACACTGACAGAGTAGAAGAAACAAAAGTAGAATGAGGTTCAATTTCCCGTGGCTGGCATTCACAAAGTACATCTTTCTCCATCATAAGTAACGTTATTTCTATTTAAAAAATGTTCAGAGAAATGCGCGCGCCTTGATTGGTCAGTACAAGTGTATGATATTTCCATAAAGCAGGCGCCTTCTGTCACGAGTGCACTATTGAGAAGTGCGAGAAGCACTCGCTCTCAGTTCATGCTTCTCTGCACCTCTTTCGTGTTCTTAAAAATTCCCGCTTGCTCACATGACTCAACAATGCAATTGGCGCGTTTTTCATTTCTTCGATCAAACATGGAACAAACAAGCCGAAGGAAAGGATGCACCTTCTAATTGGGTCACATGAAATAATGAAAATATAAGAAAAACAGTTTACAACATTAAAAAAAAACTATACACTTCCTAATAATTTTGACATTGAATTAAGAAAACAATAGAAAAGGCAATGAATAAGGATCAAAATGACAATGGTAGTAATAACAGTGATCATCTTTCAAGAATTTGCATAAATCATGTTTATGAATATTTGCCATGAACAAGTTCTTTCTTTAATCAGCAGATTGTTACAAAAAATATATAAAATTAATCGGAGCATCTTCTTTCTTTACTTAAAAAGAACTCATCCATTGAAAACAATAATTCTCCATATTTTCTCCCTTTTGAATGAAACCATAAGCTGTATTTACTTAACGGCTGAAAATTGTACAAAACTCTGATGCCATTATGCCTCTTGTTTTTGGAGCTGGCTGTTATTTCAGCCTGGCACGAAGAAGTACATATGTTTTTAAGTTACAAATGATAGCTAATACAAGTAGCTTTAAACGATGTGTAAAAAATAATACATTGTTGTCAGGAAGAAAACACATATACAAGCAAAATGTGAGAACAATACACAAACTGGATCCAATAGCAGCAGATGGTAGGAATGCAATTATTATTTCCTGGACAATTTCATCCAAACTGTATCATATTACAACAGCTGAATCACAAACTTTCTACTTTAGTTAACCATTCTCCAGTGTGGGACAAAGCACTTCTGTTTTGTGTGTTGTTGGTTGACAAAACAGCTATACATGTTGGTATATCTATGTAGCTATATAGGGGGAGTTTTAATGTCACCCTTAGCAGTTAAGTGAACAATTTGTCTGGCAAATAATTTTAGATACTTTCATCAGGCACTCCTGACTGCATTCCTTCTTTTTCAGAGTTGTGGTTTTTTAAAAAGCAGTTTCTTTATTTTTTGGCACTAGGTACTTGGTATGTACACCACAATCTGGCATGTGACATTTACACTCTGCTGCACAGTTGTTTCAACAAAGATGAGCCTTATCTGGTCTCCTACTCCTGAATTATTTTGATAGACCAATACTTGTGTCCTGCATTCCTTCATTTTCCTTAAACATAATTCAGAAGAAACTGGTGGTACAAAATATATGTCATCCTCTGAGCTTTTTCCCTCCTTGTATGTCCAGTTTCTTCTTCTTGGGCTTTAATAGTTTTGGAAGCTCCATGGTGATCAATCGTGTGAACATCTTTGGAATCTACCCCATTTTAAAAGCAGTGGTTGAAGGAAGCACATGAATTATTCCATTGTATGACTGAATTAATCAAGAATGCTCTTATAATTAGCCGCTGGTCTTGATTACTGCAATGTCTCAATCTCAACTAGAACCTTGTTGTCAGCATAGATGTTCTGGAAATCCCTTTGTTGTTCCATAAACAACTCCACACTGCTTGGTATTTCGGCAGTAGATAATTGTTTTCTCACACGTGACCTGTTTTGCTTTAAACCCAATATCAGTATCTTTATTCATGCATTAAACAGTGTGAGGAAGTTTCAACTTATTTGGGCTCTCCTTGATTTAAGACAGGCTATCCATAAGGATATATAATATTGTATATAGATAAGATAATATTGTATCCTTGGTCAGCTTTGTTGAAGCACACTCACTATTGTATCCTTGCTTGGCCTAGTTGCTGTGACTGTTGAAGCTGTCATTTGGGCTAAAGGAGCCAATAACCTAAATCCTTGCAGTTGTGCATGCACCTGCAAATACTGCCATTTTCAATCTTATGATGTTCCCCTAACAAATTTGTTGATAAAAAAAAATTTAAGAAGGAAAACTGTGTAATTTCAAATCTTAATGATCTAAAGCAAACAAAAGTTACAAGCAGATAACAGATGTAGTGATAATATAGGAACATAACTCACAATTAGATACAGTACATCAAAATAAGTCCACTCCTGTCTATGATTGTAGGTGAGGCATATGATTTTGTATGAATAACACTTGAATGGTTTGTTATTGTCACATACAGTTAACTTGAGAGGCAAAAATTATATTTTGATACACGTAAGGAACCTTTTTCCCAGCATTGCTTCTGGTGAACTGTGAAGTAACAAATATTTCCAAGAACCATTGAATATTTACATTGGAGACCACAACAATGGCTGTGAAGGAGACAAAAGAACTCCATATGGAAGAATGTCCAAGTTTGTTTTTCTCACTTTTTTCAATAGTGTTAAGCCAATTAATAGACACCCTTTCACTCCATTTTTACTTTGTGGAAGGTTGGGTGAAATTGATCTGCTAAGTTGACTTCTCATAACTACTTGAATTGCATTTGGTTTATTAATGGTTTTAGAGGATGGCAAGTGGAACTCAAGTACATAGTGTGCTGATCATGTAAAGCCTTGGTAGCCAGATTTTCATGGGGCCTCTCTCTGTAACCTGCATCATTAGTACAATGCACTTAAATAACCTATGAGATGCACCTGATGGTACCATAAGTAAACAATTTTTTCTTCTCTAGCTGAAAACATGTTAGGGCTTTGTTCTTAGGTATTACTTGAAGAATTTGAACCCTTTTGGGGGAGCATGGTCTCATCACTTGAAACTTCTTAGTAGTGTCTATGTAATCTTTTGAAATTTTATTTTAAAAAAGCGAAATACTCTCTCACAGGAAAGACATCATTGAAGCTGGTGTCCTTCTCAGAAAGAGCACTGAAATCATTAGCTGAATTAAAAAAACTTCTGTATCTTGAATAATCATGTTTGTGTTATGTGGAAAGTGACATTACCCTGATGGATCATGTAGGTCAGGACGTGAAATTACACCTAATACAGGTGCCAATACAACTAAATTTTTCTCTTTGGCAACCAAATCCTGAAAATTAGTTGCGAAATTGGCAACTATAGTGCTTCATCATAACCTTACCTAGAGATATAGTGAGTTAAAAAGATTTGCAAAGATAAATCCGTGGCGAACTTCATTGTTAAGTTTGTATCCAAAATGCAGCATGTGCATCTCGATCAATTACTAGATGCAAGCTTGGATTTAGGGGAACTTGAATGTCTTCCATCCTAGTGTCCACTTTGTGGCACATAAAAGATCTTTTTCCCAACTTAATTTTTAAGGGTCTATCTAGAATACTGACAGCAGAAAAAAAAGTTTTGTTTGTCTTTAAAAATGGCAACCAACTTTTTTTGAATTGGCTACCACTTTGAAAAATTTAGGAGCCAAGTGGCTATCAGAAAAAAAAATTCACACTCTGCTCTAGGTGCACTGGTACTTTGTTGAAGGTGACAATTCCAATACAATCCTTTTGAATGTAACATTTGCATGTGAGTTCTACTCTACTACTCTGTCTAACAGAATGTACTGCAATTTAAGTATACCAGTGTTACAGAAATCTCAAGGTGCAATCATAGATATAGTCTTATTTGTTGTTGTATTTATTTGAACAAATACTTGAAGAGGTTATACGCTAATCAATGTCTGTTGATCTAAGTGGAGTTCTTTTTTTATTACATTGCTTAAATGTTACAAGGTTCAGGCATGAATAAAAGCCACATTAATTGATTGGTGTTAAAGAAATGAAAAGTAGATGTTGGAGGAGTTGCTTTCATTGAAAGTGTAAAATATGATGTAGTAAAATTATGGATAATTGAGTGGGGTTTATTGATTATAGGTAGGAGTCAACAGAAGAATGGTTTCTTATGTTGAAATGTTGAAAGCCAATACATGTAAGTTATGAAAATAACAAAAGTAATTTAACTTTTCTTCTCAAACTCATTAATAGCTAATGCTGAGAAAACAAAGGAAATTACAACTGTGAAGGAGGTTTGGATATGTGACCTTAATTATCATAAAATTTGGTGAACTTTTGCTTTGATTTTCTTCAAGAATTATTAATGGTTTGAGAAGCTATATCAAACATTTGAAAGGGATGTTTCATCTGATATCCAAACACCTTGAAGTTGGTTAAAAAAAGAACTTGGCAGCACCTCATTTTTTCAACCACTTCTTGGTGTTTATATATCAGATGAAACACTCTTCCTCATGTTTGATATATTACTTAAAAATCCAACCAGGAGGGGCCATTTCAATTGGGCTTCACAATTGAGGTTTTTGCTTTTTTAGTATGTAAGTCTTTGATGGTTTGTGAAAGGCCCTAGAAATACTGGCTCCATCCCTAGGTTGCATAGCATGTTCAAAGGAATGTCTTATTTATAATACTCATTTATTTGATTTTTATCTTTGATGAGTGCAGCAAGTTTCTTCATCAAAAGAGAAGCTTTATTCTAACTATATTGCTTGTCTAGCTCAGGGTGACAGGTAAAGTAAAAATTACTACCTGACCCATTTTGCTTAGAAGACATAACTTTGTCATCTTTTTCTGTGAAGAGCTCTTATTTTTTGCCTAAGAGTCAGAATAGGTGCTAATCTATAAAAGGGGCTGAATCAAAAAAATTTTTAGCAGGCATATATTATTTGAGAAGGGCTTAGTCTTTTAATAGACATGTCAAATTAAACAGGCAGCATTAAATGTGATGATAAGAGTCACTGAACAAAACAGTTGTAAATGTAAGCATAAACTTTATTGCAACTTTTTTGCAAGAATAGCTATGAGGGTATTGTATTGAATTAGGGTAAAAACTGGGCCAATGGGTAATTGAAGTGCACAGTTGACAAGGCTTGGATTTTCAGTATTTATTAAGTGAATGTAATCTGAAGCTGTGGAAATTGCAAAATCACAATCATTAGGTAGAGATCTTTCCGTGCAAATGACATATCTGGCAGTAAAACTTACATTTGTCCAGCCTTGTGAGAACATAGAGTTATAGACTTGCCAGCATTATAATATCCTTAGGCAAATCCTTGATCCTTAGACAAATCCTTTGTGAAAACATGCATTAAACATTTTTTACTTTTGCTTGGTGCGACACAAGACAAAACTGCTATTACATAATAACAAGACAGTCCATGGGGCCTTGCGGCCCTGAGATTAGTTTTGAGTACAGTCCGTGTGCTTGAGGTAACACAACAAAAACTAGTAAAATATGATAAGCTTATAAAGGAAATACTGTCAACTCTCTCATAAGCAGACACCTCTAAGATTTGTAAAAAGTGTCTGCTATTACTGATCTCTGGCTATGAGAGTTACTCCTATAAGCAGACTGTCATGTTAACAACTAAAACTACATGAGGCAAGTTGCTTCAATCAACTTCTTTATTCAACTCGCTACTTACAGGATATGCTTACAATGATATAGAGTTAAATTAATGATCACATGATTACATACAATCCAATAAGCATACACCTAACAGCAGATGTTGCATCAACACAACATAGACACTAAGGAAAAATATGTTGGATGTCTGCATTAGTAGGTGTTAATTACATTTTATTGGGTTGTCATTATCAAGTGAAACTCTTGGTTGCTGTAAAATATTAAAATTGGAAAAAAAAGAGAAATAATGTTAGAAATATACATTACATCTTTTCTTCATTCAACACAAATTAAATGGGACTTATTGCTGCCACTCATACATGTAACTTTGTTGCTTCTTGAAAACATCCTATCAATAAAAAGGTTATGTGACTAAAAAAGGTTGCTTGGTCTTATTACAATTTGGAGAAATGCAGTCCATTCTGGTTGACTGCCTCCTTCTCTATGGATGTTTTTTTACTCACGTGACCAATTCCCTGACTACCATTGCTATCCTGCCCTATTAGTGTACTTCAATTCTCACTTGCAAACAAAGTAATAGCATCATTTGCAAAGAACATGGTTTTGTGCCTTACTTTTGGCCAAGGCAGATAAAGTGGTCAAGATAAAGGATTATACTTTCTAAGGGTGCCTTCTGTAGCTACAAAATTAAGGTGAAGAAGTATAGAAACCTTCAAAAAAAAGAAGATCACTCTTGGATCTTAGATATCAGTTGTATGTGAAGAGTGTTTTGTTTCAGGAAGTGAAATTAAGAGCTGAGATAAATTCGATATTGAGCAGGTTCTGACATTGCTCTTTTCACCTTGTTCTTCTTTCTGTAATAACCCAACACGAGAGTCATTCATACGCTGGGAATGTGATGCCTTTGCCAAAACAAGAAACTCGTTGGCAATGATCTGGCCTGAAACACTTATGAGAAAACCAGAGAACATTAAAACTGCACTAAAAGTACACTACCAAATTTTGGTAGTGTACTTTTAGAAACATGTCTCCAAAACATGATAACACAAAGTATCTGTTGATTCTTGAGGTGGCAAACAGTTCAGCTTAAAGTCTTTCCCTTCAACTGTCACCGGATCAAATCCATTTGCACTATTTTCTGCAAATATGTCTTGTACTGGCAAATCTAGCTGCGTGGTATTTTCAGTGTTTTGTCTTGCTCTGTTTCACTCTTCTGTTGTGGTTTGGGGATCACAGTATTTTCCAGGTTTCTTTATCAATCTAAAGAGCTGTTTCTCCCATCTCATTAGAGTCATTCATTCTCATATGATTTATATTCTTCTGAGAGATTCTGCACCGTGGTGTCTTCTCCATCTGGAAGTTCTTCATCTGTTTCTCTATTGCTGAAAAGGCAGAAACTTGATGAAGTCCACATGCCAGTGTTGTCTCCAATCTTGGTAGATTTTGCTTCTTCTCTCAATGCTTTCTTTACTGCAGTGTTGTAAGTGCAGTTGTTCTGTTTCAACATTGGAAGAGCGGAGGTGGTGAAGGAAAGGTCTTTGCTTTCCAAATTTTGTTTCGGCAGGACCATCAAACGACTCAATCCAGTCCTCTCACTCAATTTCCCTTTGCCAAACTTCTTCTCCCAGCAAGAGGAAGTCACTAATGGACTTCAGATGAGACTTCCAAAACTAGCATGTCTGCTGATGACATTTTTAGGTAGCACTGTGGTTCCCAACTTTGGTAAGGCTTTGCTCATGTTACTGATTTCTTTCTCTTACCTGGCAGTGTAGGTTTCAGCTGTTTTTCTTCCTGACATCTACTTTGCTTTGCAGATCTGCATTTCTTTTTAAATTTTCTTTTTTGTTGTTCCAGGTCTTATTGGTTATGTTAGCCAACTACTCTAGCAGCCTCTCAAACATCTCAGCTTGAGTTGATGAAGATGGAAGAGTTGTTTTTCTTCCTTTACTCTCTGTTCTTTTCCTTCTTACTTAAGTTGTTGATGTTCAGTTAGTGTCTTGTACTTTCCTTAGGTCTTGTAAGTAAGATCATGGCTTGGGTTTAAATGCCCATCACATCCCAGGCAACCATAACGTTCTACATGCTGATTTCTACATTCAAAGTTTACTGAAGAGTTATCTCCAGTCATGAACTGCATCTTGTGTAAATCTTTTCCAAATTGAACTTGAACTTCATGCATCAGAATGATGATTGCTGTGTCATACATCTCTCCAACAAAAAAAGAGCAGATGAGCATAATTTGACTTCAACAAAAGGTCCTGCTAATCAGCCTAAACATCTTCAACTGAAAGCTTTTTATGCTTTTGCTTGAATTCTTCATGCATTCTCTGTGTATCCTGACTGATTTCCTTCAGCTCTGTGTGTCTCATTTTCACCGAGGTCTTGTTAAAAAGCATCTTTTTTTTGTGGTAGTAGTCTTCACAAAGTAAAAATTACATGTTTTATGTTGCAAGGTAAAATGTTAACAGTAATAAAAAGGTAAAAAGTAGTTAAGAAATATTAAAAATTTTAAACCTACAGTGCTACCTTATATTTGAAAACTTAATAATGTTATAGAAATCTTCAATATGTTTGTGGTAACTTTAGGATAATTACATTGTTCTTCTAAAGTTGAATTTTGTCTCCCTTTTCTTGGGGATTGACTATCTAAGGGAATGGAGAGGTGACTTTGCCACTTAATTGCTTATTTTGTTTATCCTGTATATTCTAGAAGTTCATGTTTGTTCAACTTAAAGGTGGTCTTTGGTTTTTGATAAGCCTTCTTTTATGTCTTGAAAGAGTATTTTTCTCCCTTGCAAGTGAGATTTATTCTGCTATATTTTGCTCTGTGCATTTAAATGTAATTTTTTTATCACTGTTTTGTCATTGGCTCTTCTATTTTAATTGTGCCATTTTCAACTCCCTCTTGGATGGGTCGCCCTAGTTTTGTATTTGGTCTCATTACAGGCATGGGAATTTCTCTTTTCTCTTCAATGATTGCTTCCTTGTAGCTCCTCTCACCTCAATCTTGTATTTTCACAATCCTTCTGTTTCACTGTAGCATCAACCTATTTGCTCTTTCCTTTAATAAATGAATGAAAAAATCAGGAGTTATGAACAGAGGCATAGAACATGTGGATAAAAGCAGATTATACTAAGGTTGATGCTCTTATACACTCCAGGGTCTGTTGAAGCTGGTACAAAATCCCAGTGGTTGTTGAGCTTTTTTTTCCTGTATAAAGGTAGGCCCCACATGCCCTCAAGTTTATATATGCTGTTACCCACAGAAATAACTCTACTCTCCTATAAACTCAATTACCGTATCAAACAATGTGTAATATTCTAACTAAGATGTAACTCCAAAAGGCAATACAGTAATGATTCTCATTAAACTTACCTTAGCCCACTATAGACTATGAACTAGCTTACTTATCAGCAGTGAATGCTGACGTGCAATGTATAGCAAATGGGATTGCGAGTTAAACAAGTCTATTTTTGTTGTGTATCGGTGCAGCCTTCTTTGCAACAGTCGTAGTATATAATGCAATGCTTTGCTGCGTGCCAGATATCAAGTAAAACCTTTAATTGCATGGGAAAAGGTTGCCAGGGCTAAAGTTTCCAGGGACTAATTGCTTACATGTAAAAGTAGGTCAACTTATCTCTGAGAAAGACCATTAACTCTGGGTTAGTTCCAACCCTGGTTTAAGTTACCTAAGCGAAAACAGTGTACAAAGAAAACACAGATTAATATTCATCAATTCAGTACGGGCAGGAATGTACGAGGAATCTACAAACCTGTTACCTGTTACCCATTATTGGAGAAGGAGAAAGGCTGCAATGAGATGAAGTGATAATTTGTGGAATGAAAAGGAATCTGAACTGTTTGTATGATGTAATTTCGGGTACAGTAAAAGAAATGCATGTATGAAGAGGATAAGTCAGAGTTGAACAAAACAGAATGAAATTTATTTTCAGATGAACATTTTAGTAGCAACATGTCTATCAAGCAATACAAAGCTAATGAAGATAAACTATTTTTTAAATGAATGATACAGTATAAACATTGGGCCATTGAAAATAGGTGTGGGGGCTGGCTATACTACTGTGGAAGTACTTGTTATTGAGTAATATGATTTATATTCACAATAATGAGCCATTTGCACTATTGCCTATTTTTCTACAACTACCTGAAACCTTTCTGATGTCTCTTATTTGTGCACCTGAAGAAAACTAAAAAAGTATTCTGGTAGCTGCAGTATTATGACCCCATATTACAGACGGCAAATTGCAGTCTCCCCACTTTGTAATGGTTCCCCTGTTTAAAATGAAAGTTTTAAAGTTAGTAGTTTCTAATTTCAACTGAAACAAATAGTTTGTATAATATAATGGTCAAAATTATATTAAACACTGACAAATTATGACCTTCATTGTTTCAATGTTAGATAAGACTTTGTCTATTTCATCGAGAGATTTATCCTAGAAAGGCGAGCATCCTCGTAAGAGAATGATAGAAACATGTGCAAAGTACAGCTTGTTACAAGTGGCTCGCGCCAGGCACCTATCGGGCAAATCATAACTAGTGTCCAGATCTCTCATCTAATGTTGCGTTGTGCTCTAAATGTTTTGTTCAGTGTGATCATGGGTGTAATGGAGACCTTCATGCGATGGCCAGAACTCAGTTGTAACTATAGGTCACAGTTGCTTTCACAGTTAGAAGCATCTCTGTCAGGTCTTCTTCTGTCAGCTGGCTAAATTCTTTGTCTTGACCTGACAGTTGTTCAGTTGGTAAATTTCATTTAGCACTATAAGCTTGTCATCAAAGATGGTCAGTGTTATGTCTCCATGATCAGATGTGACAAACTGTACCTTTGCAATGGCTCTGGTTTTGCACTTTGTTTTAAGTTTTGCCATGCCATAATTGGAACACCAAATCATCTTGCTGCTATCACTGGAAGGCAAGGAGGAATTGCATTTGGTGCTACACCGATAGGTGGTGAGCTTTTCAACTGCTTCAGCTGGGCATGTGACTGTGTTGTGAGGGTTGTCTTTCAAGATATCATCTTCTCTATGTACTTGAGCAGTTGAGGATTGGATAGATGTCTGCTTGTTGAGTGTTATGTACTTCTGCTTTTCATAACTTTTGACATTTGCCTTACAGAACCTAAAGATGTTTTCTGACTGTATTCTTTCAATGTCTTCTTGCCAAAGTGCTAATCTCAGATCCTGTTTTGTTGGTGAGTGTGCATTCTTGCCTCCTCAGTGTCTTGCCATTTGCTGTGATGATGGTTGGATTTCAACTACTGTGACTTGCCCAGTGATGTTTACTTTACTTTTAGTAATCTTGCTGGCAATAATTTCTTGGATGCTGTCTGTATACTCTGTGTCTTCCTGCTCACGCTCTGGGATCTTGGTGAAGTCAAATGTGATTTCACTTTTATTAGGCTCTGATAGTTTGGTTCTTTTATTGATGTGCACTTTGTCTTTATCTGAGTATCTGTTGCATTTTACGTGATAGTCACTTATTTTGATAGGTGAGGAGGGTTCTAACTTGACCTTCACGGAGGTATGTTTATCTGGGGAAAAACGCACAGCCCTCATTGATTTGTCGCGTAGTTGAAGAATGCCATCAAAGTAGTGGTTGTTTTCTTGGCTCCTTTTCAATGGGAACAAGTTATGCAGATAGCAAATGGGAGGTGTGCCAGGAAAATGAAATAAGAAAAGGATGATTGTTATGTCTAGTAAATTTAGAACAGGTAATTTGCTATTTGTAATAGCAAGAATGCTTCTTTTTGGGAGTTATCTTAGTCATTCATTTTGTGAACATTCCATTTGTCAACTGTTTACATATGAAAACAGTTTCTATATGTTAAACTTATTTTTGTTCCTTGGCGTTACTACTTACTTTGTTCTTGTTTGGTAAGAGTTTGCACAAGGGTATTGTTCCAAGGGGAAATGGTTCTCGGACGAATGATTGGATACGGAATCGTATAATCTTTATATTGTTTTATTTGATCTATAAGAAAGATACAAAATTGTTGAGAAACCTAATCTAATGCGAGCGATTCATGAAATTGCACGGGAACTAACAATTCTCAATTCAATCAGTGACAAAACAAATTACTTACTTCTGTGGCGATATCCAATCGAACGTATTTCAATAACAGGTCAGCAAAACGGGTCAGCAGATCGAACAGTAATACACTACAGGTTAGCGACGTTAAACGTAAAGTCCGTAAGGTACAAAACGCTTATGACCTTTGTCTCTGATTTCGCGTTACTTAAAACGTGTCCTAACTGAACGATCAAGTTACTTAGCTATTACGCCATTGGCTGCTGGGAGGTGTTTTTGAGGAAGCAGCCACATCTGATACATCTTGGATTGGTGGATTGTTATCTGATGATGCAAAATAAAAGATTCTGACATAAAAAGAAAGAGTTCCCCAAGTTGAAAAGAACCACGAACAGAAGACCTTGGTCTTAAGCACATTATTTACAAAGGTTTTGACGTCCATCTTGGTGGCAACAAATGACTTGTGTTAGAAAAATGAGGCCGGTTTTAGCTTTGATAGGGTGTGAGATGGTGTTATGATATAGAAGTTCCAACTGGACACTTATGAGAACATAAAAGCAAGGAAAATCCCAGTTGGTTATCCTCAAAAGTCAAAGCTGGTGGTCTCAAAATCCCCAAAGTGGTCATTACAAGAGCTTTTCATTACAATTCAAATGATAATTCAGTTTTCCAGTGTACTAGTATGTTATTTTGTTACATACTACTTATTTGCTGTATGGTTGTAGAGTAATCAGCTCTAGGTTCTGTTGGAAAATAAAAATGGTTGCTATATTTACTTAAACATAATAATACACCAAAAGGACGTATAGTCCTATAAAGTATACAGTATAAGTCACCTTAAAATACTTGTTTGTTTTATTACTTAC